GCACATGAAGTGCTCCAGACTCTGTAGACGCTTATGATATCGCGCTGTTCGACCAAGGACTCCAACCTTGGTCACGGTAGGAGCCGAGCTCTCCATGAAGACTCTCATTCCCTAGTGGTGGAACAGACTATGTTTTATGTTCTTCTCCTTGAAGGTGCAATTTAATGCGCTAAAAACGGATGAGATAAGTAGCTATTAACGATGCTCGAAATTTTTCGTCACAGGTCCTTCTTACGGGCTGTTCCGTTTTAGTGAATCGTTCTCATAAGTGTTCTCTGTTCGGATTACTTTCTTATCTAATCTTAGCACATTCACAAGATTGGCATAGTAAGACGGAGAAATCATGGATGAATACTGTCTGCTACCACTCTTATCTCTGGACCTGACCTAAGCCAACATCGATTCAAAAAGCGTAGAATAGATGTCAAAGAAGGAGAGAGTATAAGGGTTGGGAAGTACATAAAGTTCAAGTTGGTTTCAGCTTAGAGGATAGACAAACGGTGTTATTCTGAGCATCCATCATATCGCGGAAGCGACCGATATCTCGCTCAGAAGCACCTTGCAGTACTTGACTTAGTAAAGTTTGGTTACCTCACCTAGAGTACAAAGCTTGCAGATTGGAGGACCAGATGCTCGCTGAAACAAGATTTTGAGGCTGGCAAATTTAGCCTAGTACGTGCATGAAAAATAATATAATCGGCCTCTGTGATGAATTTCCAAGGTGAGCAGCGTGTCGAGAAAATTGGTAATCATTGAACATCCCCGTCTATTTCTAAGGTAGGAAAAGCGGTAGGAAATGAATTGAAGTGTCTGGGGTTGGTGTGTCTACTCTGCTGTATAGACAGAATAGACCCTATTGAATTCCATGAGAAGCGCGATTCTATCTGAAAGTAATTGACCATATCCGCTCCTTCGCTTCTGACAAAAAACTCGGGCAAGTGAACATGATTTTTGTCTTTTCTCCCTCCTCCGTCCTGTGCTTTTTCCTGCCCTTCTCGTCTTTCTTCCTCGTAACTGTGGGAATAGAACTGACGGTGGAATCTAGCATCAGAAGTCAAAAGCGTACATGATTGCGGTTCTCCTAGGGTGTCGCCATGGGTGACCGGTTATTTACTCCCTAAAAAGCCCAGATACTCAGCTGAACTCAGACTTTGTGCTCGAAGTGTTTTTTGCTCCCAGACACAACGCTTTCTACACCCTGCTCGCCTCTCGCGTGGTCACAACGTCGTGATGTATAGCTAGGCACATTTCACTCCGTGTCTCTCGAAGATACACACGCGAGCAGCTGTTCAATGGAAACCATTTAATTGTCGGCGTTCCTCACTTCCAAGCTCTTGACACTACACCGCCGGCTTACGAATAATTTTCCGCAATTCATATATTCTTTCACATTTTTGAGAGTATAAACCAGTTAGCTTTCACATTCGAATATTTGGAAAGTGAAGCACAGTCAAACCGTCGAACCTATGGAAGCATTTGCTTCATCTGCATTAATACTTCATCTCATAATGTGGTTAAAGGATAGAGGATAAAGATCCCGGCGTTGGTCAATCCTGTTTCGGGATGAGCCACGCATTCCACTCCCATTTAGAATCGTGGTGGGGATTTGAATGTGAATTTCAGCTATCGATGGCTTGCGCGGGTCGCGTCCAATCTACGAGTTCGGCGTTCCCTCTCAACATAGCTGCTACAATTACCTAACCCGAGGGAATGAAGGCTTTGTTGGCCCTGGCGACGCACAACCCAGTCTCTTCGGTATATCATACGCTATGGATAAAGATTCTGTCAGTTCCAGGTCTGTATCGATTTGGCGTGCTCTTTCTCTTGAATTGCGATGGCTCTCATCTTCATCCTCAACACCGCCTTCTTCACTGCTCCTTGTCAAAAAGGCACAGATCATTTCGAGGACTAAAGTAACGCAGCCCTTGCAATAGACAGTAGACCACTAGTGAAGATGCAACTTTTTGTCGTCATACAGTTTTAATGCTGGGGACAAGCACGTGCTATGATCATCGAAGCAACTCGCAATGTAGCACAAATGGCAAGAGATCATTAGTTACAAACACCCACCCTTGGATGCTCATCCTGGCTGAACTCCAAAACGTTCTACTGCCATTCTCGATGGAATCTCAAGCTCAAAGTTCTCTGATCAAGTAGCATGATCACTACGGTTTCACTGAGTGAGTCATGAACAATGAACGCTGCACTCACGGTTGGAATTGAGTAATTTTTAGGGTTCCGAATTTTCCGTGCATCCCAAACAGGACGTCGGGAACGCTAAAGGGAGAGGCGATAGCCAGTCCTAATGGCGATGTCAGACTTTGCGAATCGCGCGATTCGCTAGGCGTCCGCGGTCGCGTTGCGGTACCAGCCAATTGAGTGATTCACTGGCCGCGACGCGACCGCAGACGCTAGCGAATCGCGCGATTCGCAAAGTCTGACATCGGCTTTAAGTCACAAGGCAGAGATCGTGTGAACGCTTCCCTTCGGTCTGTAGTATAGACCCCAGAACAACACAAACGCAGCGTTCCCGTGCACGGGGAGTCCACCAACAAGAGCGCTTGGGCTTAGGGCTCAGGCACTTGCCTGGCGCTCTTTCATCTGTACCATCTCTCGCCTCATACTCTCCTCTCTGCATTTTAGTCTTTCATCCCTAAGCATAGCTATTAGAAGTCGTCAAGCCGAGCCTTAACCTAAGAAGTGCATGGGCTGCAAGAGTTACAGTTCTTGTTCCTCAATCTCTTAGCTCAAAATTAGTGATTGAACTGGAATCCGGCATCCTTCCATTCTTCAGTACAACTTCCAGTTCAGTTACTGCTCGATAGCTGACTTGGTCTTGTGGCCATACCTGTCCATTACCTAAGCGCATAAGTTTTTCTTTAGCGAAAAAAATGATGATTTTGAAGGCAGCCACTTACAACGCACTAATCCTGTTAAAAGTAATACGAATCCTCATTACCTTGTATTTGGACGAGAGCAGCAAACGACCCTATCCTATCTCGTCTGGCTCCAAGGGCAATCGAATCCAATTAAACGGACCCTTGACAGAATTAATGACTTAAAGGCAGTGAACGCGATCGCTGAAAGGTAGAGAGGTTATGGTAATCATTGGACACCATTAGTGATCGGGCCTCAGGAGGTGATTTCATCCACATCCCCAGCGCTCTGAAACCTGTATTTCCCCAATTAAGTCACTAAGGCCGCTACACCCACGCACGTAGAGCCATAGTTTGGATGAATAACAGGAGAAGAGCGGTCTTGCTCTTTGGAAATTCCCTGCTTTCCACACCCTTTATGACTTCGTCGATCAGCTGTTGTTCGTGGAGCAATAGATTAATGGGGCAATAAAGCAAGAAAGAGCGGAACAAACTCATAAACAAAAGTGTTTATAATTTGTAGCTTCGCCTACTAGGGTGGGATGCAGCGCCAGACCGGTCGAAATCGTACCTGCGGGGATGTCAAGATCTGACTTGAACATTAGCTTGTGCTTCATGTATGAAAAATATGAGTTTGTAAAGCTCTGCAGTCCGGATGTAAGGAGCCTACGGCCCATTCTGAATTGATTGATAAACACCGAGGACGCTGTGATTGTAATTTTTCATTCCATTTAGTCAATATACAATTCATTTCATTGCATGCTCCTCTGCATGAAAGTACGTTACATCAAGGTTTATTCGTCTTTCCCCTGTGTCTTTATTTCGCCAATCCCAACTCACTGATGAGCTCCGGGGATTGACGAAATAATAAGGTTCGTCTGAGGAAGGAGCGAAACGAACCGTATCTATTATTTTGTTTATAATGGTTTTTCTTTCTTAATTGGACGCTACCCTACAAGTAAGCATCATAGGTGTCATCCAATTGTCCTTGACAGTTTCGTTACCTGCTCACGTAACAAACTGCCTCTTCGTTGAATCCTCTGCAAACCTGAGAACCAGATGATGATCATTCCAAGAGCGGCTCCCGCCCAACCACTAAGCCTGCTAACCTTCCTGGACCGTTTTAGTAGGGCCAGATTCTTTGAGAGGATAAAAAAAACACTGACTTGGCATGTCATGCATGCGGTTTGACAATTCATTGTCAATGGCAAATCGCACCCAAATGTAACCACGATTCTGTATGGGAACAGAAAGCCTGGAGCATTCTAGAAAGTTGTCCCATTCCCTAAACCCTTAACGCTATCCATGATTACCAAATCCGCGGTATCTTTCCAAAGTTGGTCATGTGGGCGGGGCCTGGTGTTTACACGTCGTTTGTCCGCGGGCGCTTTGGCCCGCCCATCGCTCATGTCCACTCAGTGCGTGATCGCTCGCTACGCTAGTCAACCATGCTTCAGCTACAATACTTCAAAAATGAATACGACTCAGAACAAAAGTGAGTTCTAGAGATTATTCGTTCTTTGATGGTGTTTTTACTTCAATACTTCAAAATGAAAGTCCCATTTTTCCGGGTAACTTTTACATTCTTCAAAATCATCTATTTTTATATTTCTTGGGTTTATTCCAGTTAGGGAGGGGGCATCATGATGCAGTTTCTCGGCGAACTAGTGTGAACTCGAACATTCCAGCTTTTCACGCATGTCAAGTGACTGCCCTCACCCCCCCCCCCCTAGACTGGCTACACTCCCCCTGGCTCGGAGTTACCCTAGCTTTCTGGAGAAACTGCATCACCTCCCATCTAACTGGAATAGACCCTATTTCTTCAGCAAAGATCCATCCAATAAGGGGTGGCATGTGGTGCGGAAATTGTTGCCGGCTACAGAAATTCTAATTTTTGCAGGGGGAGGAAATCCCCGGGGTGCGTGAACCATTTCGCTTTCCTTTTACACCCACCCGCAGCTTCCCTCTCCGGAAAAATTGGATTACTCTAGGCGTACGAACTATCGCTCCATATGCCCATCGGTCCTTACTGCGAGACCCGGTGTTTCCTTCAGGAAATTTCGTAAAGGTTTGGTCGAGTCAGAAACAAGGAATACTTTAAAATGTTCAAAAACCCTGGAAAATTCCGACACCTATGAACCTCCAGATTTAAGAGCTGACCCACTAAATGTTTCCTGAATGCAACCGATGTTTTTCTGAATATCTTATTAATTTTCCAACAGATCAATGGAATAGAACATTAAAGCTAACTGCGAAGTCACGGTTGGTAGGTGTTGTGCTAGAATGGCACTTGTTCCCTACAGAGACTAATTTTTGAACTTCAAATGGGTAAAAGCTTTCTTGAGACCACCTCCTAATATCACTCTTTCGTTTTCATTCTTCCGCTCTTTGGTGTTTGCTGAACGGGGTTCTTTCCTTTTGTTTTTCTTAACCGCACTTCTTTCTGATTGCCCTTGATCACGTGTAGCACTCTCTCGTGCCATTGAAAAACGGGTCCGATCTAGTTTTCAGTACTACATAGTGCGTGACAGCCGTCTACCGTCAACTTTCTCCCACTTTTTGTGAACTCGTAGCATAATATATGCTTTATTCAATTGCATACAGTTTTTTATGGTTATATTGCAATGATTCTGCTCAGAAGAGGTTCAACACTTTCCTGGGCAACCTTTAACATTCGATGTGATAGGTGTTACCTTATCTTTTTTGCGCATTCATGTTTTTCTGTTTAGTATGCGTCAATCGATTGTTGTGAAAGCCCGTGTCGATGACATGGAACAAGCGGAAAATGCCATTTTCGATCTTACTGAGTCACTTGGAACGTTCTTCGTTCAAGAGGATGTCTACTTCAATGTTCCAAATGGAAACCTTAAACTCCGAATTATGCATCCAAATGTGAGTGCCACTGTTTGTTTATATATGTTGGATGTTTCCCGATTAGTTGTTCCCACATGGTTTTTGTCCGTTAGACTTGCGACCTCTCGGATTATTTTCTCCAGTAGAGATCAAACAATATTTGAAGCAATCTCAATGACTGTCTTATCCTTCCGGTGTAAGGAGTTTCCGTTCGCGACGAACACACCTATTAATCAAGTATGCGCGCCCCTTCTTATCAAAGACTGTCGTTGGATGAAATCCGAACACCTAAAGTCATGCTCTACAGGGTATTGCGCGAGAGCTTCAAATCAACTTTGTTCAAGATAAGGTAGTGAGTGTAATCGCCGCATCTCAGATCGCTTCGATCCATTTCAAGCTCTTGCATAGGCTGTTGTTCTTTTAACAGCGAGAAACCTGATTTCGGGCAGTCGCTTCGAAGATTAAAGCAGTGACAAAGCTCACAATATAATGTATCTCATGGCAGAAAAAAACGTACATTCCCAAAGTTTTTACAATTCTTTTCAAAGCGAAAGGAAGTCGGCAAGAAATCTCTTTTTGCAATGAAGTGAGGATTACAGGAGGAACTACGGAATATTCTCAGTGATTTGTTTCTTCAAATTCTGACAACTCTTTCTAGAAAATAAAAACCCCAACTTGATTGGCAGACATACCACCTACAACTTCTTGAATTGGAGTAATTACCTAATCCTAAATTTGTGCATATTTTTATGCCTTATCTATCCTCCAAAGCAAGGTTTCGTAATTATGCCATGACTACCACTCCTGATTCGAACAGTGTGTGTCATCACTTTCAAAATGTCATTTGTTTGCTTGACAACGGGAAGATGTACAGATTCATCACCAAGATAAATTTCAATTAGCCCAACGCTATGGTCTTATTTGTTATGAACTTGTCAGAATCATTGTTAAGGCCTTTCACGAATTGGGACTTAGGGAGCCTTTACCGTAACTTTATGGCAATGGGATCGAAATACGTGGGAAATAATTCGATTCTTGCTTTACCGTGTCGAAAAGTGATAGCAGTTCATAGTCATCGTGCCGTTTGTGTTGCAACAGTGCATTATTTCTGCTCTCTATTGCATCCTTTTTTGATAGTCATAGTCTTCATATTTGATCCCTTTTTTCAGCGATGCGGTCAACTCATCTACAGTTCCTTGAGTGAGAAATCCAATCACAAATTAAGCGAATCACAAGTGACGGAAGTCGAGGATGTGCTATCTATTCGAGTGAGTTCGTTTTGAGAAATTTGCGTCCTTTGTTCTCCGATTTGTGTTGGACGTTCTTCGTCTCGGTAATGGTGATTGATGTTTTACTATCTGGTTTTTCGGGCTGATCGATTGCTAACCTTGTAGCTATCATTCGGACATAAACAAGGCGATAGCAAGAAAGGTGTAGGCTGGCGATCCTGCTGTTTTGCAGTCAATGGAGTTTGCATCAGTCAGCAAATAGTGCTATACTGATACAGCTGCTACAAGGGGGCGTTGACATATTTACATCCATGGTGTGAAGTAGCGTTGTTGACAGCTGTGGTACAGTCAGAAACGGTACTCCGTGAGGTTATGATTAACCTAGTATCCAGTGATATGTCTGGAAAGGAAAGTCTTTCAGAACATGGAACGCTTTTTCAAAACGGTTTGTTGCATTTTATAGGGCACGTGCGTGGAGCATAAATCTGATGATCATTTTTTCTGAGCGGCCCTGGGATTGCCAGAAAAAGGGCAGAAAATTTTCCTTGAGAAGTGAAACTTTTCCATTTTTAATAAACTCTACAGCATTTGTAGAGTTGAATAGTTGCATTTTGGAAGCTTTTTCTTCGATGAATAGGTTTAGACATTCATGAGCTCAAGAAAATGGAAAATGGAAATCAGAGAAATGCAACATTTATTCTCGGTGGTAATGGGGTTACAAAAAATGGTTTCGACACGTTTTTCTAGCATTCCCAGAGCCGCTCAGAAAAAATTCCAAGTTTTATGCTCCCTGCTCGGGACTCTATAACACGCAGAAAACCGTTTTGTAAGAGCGCTCAGTGTCCTGAAAGACTTTCCTGGTGAGCTATCTATCTTCCGCAGCCTTACTTTCCAGTTAATGGTTATCTTCACTTTTTTAAAATTTCCTTTTTTAATTGTCTCTTGTTAGTGTTCACTTAGGTTCTCATCAAGGGGAAACATGTGGTGCGACAGTTCTTGCCGGCTACAGAAACTCCAATTTTTGCAAGGGGAGGGAATCCCGGGGTGCGTGAACCATTTCGCTTAAGCTTTTACACCCACCCCGGAGCTTCCCTCCCTGAAAAAGTGGATTACTTCATGCAATGTGAACTTCGAACCACATGCCTCCCCTATTACTGATGAGACCCAAAATTAATATAAACCACATCAAATACATCATATGAGTAAGAAATGCTTCCTTTTTTGAATAAACATGATAATCATATAATCTTAGAATTATTATATTGTTTATTTGTTCAGTTTTTGTTGGTCTCACTAAATGACAACATGAACAAATGAGCAAATAGTAGGGTGTAAAGCATCTAATGAGCAGAGGTCTGTTCCACGCCGTTCTTCGCTATCGGCGCCCTCTAGATGGCTTTGTTGGTGTGGTGGAATAACGTGAAAAACATGTGGCCTTGTGTCACCCACGTAGCTCAGCCTCTCGAACAAGAATTCCTGTGTTCTTCATCAGTCTAACTTTGCTACATGTTATGTTTATTACATGACACGCATGTATAATGGCTACAAAACAAGAACGAGAAAGAAAGTAAAACATCCAAACATCAAAATTTCCCATGAAGTTTTCATAGGAAGTGGTATGATAAGCAGTATGCCATCACTCATCTTTTTCGTTTTCAAAGAAGCTTGTTCACTGCTTCTGGTTTAAAAAAAAGTCCAATCTAGAAGAAAGCACAGCTTTAGGTAAGAAGACTCGCGTTTGTTAAACGAAGTGGTTTAACGGGATCATTACAGTCGGCAGAGGTTTCACTTCGTGTACCTGCCGAGATCTGGTCTGTTCACATGCTTGACTTCTTGTTCGTGTTTTAATGGTTCCTGAGAAGTGAACGACATCGCTAAGAACAGGTTCTCGTTCATTGCTGACAGTCTATGTCTGCTCGTATATGTATACAGTTGAAGGGGATATGAATCACAATTAGTCCTACGTCGACTGATCGTATTTGATGCTTTGGGAGGTGCAGGGTCATAAGAATCAGCGGAGTAGAGTAGGGGTCACTCTAGGGAGGTCCAGAACTGAGGCAAAGATTTTTCATCAGCGTCGCCGTCGTAATTAG